GGGCATTGCAAGAAAGGTTACACCCTGCTCTCTCTGTAGACCGCCGGAACACTCCCTCAACCCTGAACACTAAACCTCTGAACCCCCAAACCCCTAAACCCCTGAACCCAAAACCCTCATCCCTAAACCCCTGAACTCTGAACCGTTATAATACATTATTATTACGAAACCCTCCAACGACGGTTTTAGCACGCAAAAAACCCCACATGCCACCGCGGACGTCTCAAAGGCAGCTTTTAGAGGTCTTTGCTGAAACCTGCGAACGTCCTCATCTCCGCATACTCAAAGCCTAATGCCCTACCGGAAACACAACAGGCCCAAGCCCAAAGTACACCCAACGAAATCAGATATCCTTAATGTCTAAATCGCTGCACCCTACACCCCCCCCTCTCGGGCACGTGATGGTTCGACTTGGGAAATCCAGCACGATTGAGAACCTCACAGGCGGACCGCAAAACACTTAGGATTCTAAGGGTATCTTAAAGGGCTACTATAAGGGTTACTGTAAGGATGACTATAAGGGTTACTACAAGGTAGGGGTTTACTTGGAGGTTCATGGGTGGTCCTAAGTGGGGCTCTAAGTAGGGTAACTATAGTTATAACCCAAATTAGGGGACTTGTAACTCCATATGTAACTACCCATGAACCTCCAAGTAGGGTTCCGGGGTTGAGAGTGCGGCATTTGAGTGCATGTGCCGTTACTTGGAATCTCAGAGCATGTCGCGAGTAGGGTGCTTGCCAGTCATAAGTGCGGGAATGGCGGTTCACCTACTTTGTTTCCTCAGCATCTCACAATTCCTAAGTCAGAGGATCAATTCAATGTCTCGGAGCATGTCGTAAGGTTGTATGTATGATGCCGAGATTGCCGCTTATATTGTGTATTTGCTTGTGTGTCTACATGTAGAAACACGACATGAACCTTGTCTTGGGCTATGTCCACGCATCCATCCACCCATCCCCCCTGTCCTCCCAGCCATCCCGCCACCCAGGCACCCACCCACCCATCCATCCATCCGTCGAAGAGTACAAACACACGTACACATACAAATACAAAAATACAAACAAACAAACAAACAAACCGACAACCAACCCACCAACCCACCAACCCACCAACCAAACAAGCATGCATACATGCATACATGCATACATGCATACATGCATACACGCATGCACGCATACATGCTGCTGGCTGCAGCGTCTGTACGCATGTATGTAAGAGATTGTTTGTCTGCGTGCTTGCATGCTTGAGCTTTTTGTTTTTTGTTGGTGTCTTTGTGTGTTTCTGTCTTGTTTGTTCGGGTGTTCGCTGGCTTGCCTGTTGGATGGTCGGGCGGGTGGGTGGTTGGGTGGTTGGGTGAGTGGATGGCTGGCTGGGTGGCTGGGTGGCTGGATGGTTGGTTGGCTGGTGGGTGGGTCGGCAGGTGGGCTGGCCGTTGTGTGGGTTGGTTGGTTAGTTGGTTGTTCTGTTTGCTGGTGGAATTGGTTTATTTGTTCATGTGTTTGTGTCTTGCTCGTATGTATGACTCTGTGTGTTTTTGTTTGCCGGCATGTTTGCGTGCATGCTTCTGTGTTTGTTTGTGTTTGCGTGAGTGAGCGCCCGCGAACCTCAAAACCCTTTGTCCTAGGGTTACCCTGAATGCCGAAACCCTTCACGCCCTTGGCAATCCCAACCAAAAGGAACCCTTAAAAGGAGCCCTTCTTTAAGGAGCCCTTAAAAGGAATAGGAACCCTCAAGGTCTCCCTTGAGCTCCCTTTTCAGGCCGGCATGCAGAGACCCTGGCCTGATCACATCCGTGGAGGAAAGATCTTCTTCCCAGGCCACCTTCTTACGGAACTTGTAGGATTTACTTGGAGGTTCAAGGGTAGTTATAAGTGGGTCGCTAATGTGGCCATATAGTCATAGCCCATATTGGGGGACTTATAACTCCATTAAAAACTACCCATGAACCTTCGAATAGGGGAGGGTTTTTCCGCAGGAATCGAAGGCCACAGTGGAGGGTTTAAGGTTCAGGGGAGTTGTTTGGGTGTCTTGGGCTTTGTGAAAGCTGTTTGAAAAGCTGCGAGTTCACCCAGGTCGACGATCTCAAAGGCGGAGGATATGTAAAAAAGCTGTATTGCATGGTTTAAACGACTGGCTAGCGGCCCTTAGAAAATCACAGCTCGAAGGCTTAGGGAATCGGGCTTCTGGTCGAGAGCTTGGTGCTTCAGGTGGGGTTTGTACTCTCTCTCGCTCTCTCTTCACTTCATTCACAACTACATCATAACATCATAAAGTTTATCAGAAAGGCAGAGCAGGATCTGCTACAGACTATCCTGAACGGTATTAGTAAGCCCTTCTACAATCCGTGTGCGGTCTGTAAAACCCTAAACACTGTACCCCACCATCGGCGATCCAACTTTGCCACGGCTGTCGGCTGCTGGTTTCTGGGGCTCTTGTGGAGGGCGCCCGCGCAGGGAGCAAAGCCACAGATAGTCTTGCGCCTTGTTGCGATATTACCGTGTAGATAGGAGAATGGGCTCTCATCTCCAGGGCCCTCACTTCCAGGCCGCCCAACATGGAACGAAACCTTCAAGACTTAGGGGCTGAGTACCCTAGGCCCCAAAAAGGGACACCATTTTGAATTGTGGTAGGATTATATAAAAAAGAAGTGGCAGGATTATATAAACCCCGAAAGGGCCCCAAAAGGCTGAAGGCTACCTACTCAGCTACTAGGGAAACAGGACCCTGAGAACCCTGGGCCTGTAACAAATCCCTGCGAATTCCATCCCTCAACCTACCAAAACCCACTTTCTTGTAGGGTCCCTATAAATTCCACATTAGGGGTTATATTAGGAGCCTAGCTAAAAGTAGGGTTTGGCAAGTTAGGGTCTACCGCGAAAGCACCTGCGCCCTAAAACACATCACCCCGACCGTGTGAAAATTGCCTGTTCCAAGTCGCCATCGGCCTTAAAGCAAGCCTTTAGAATAAAAGTGTGACTTTGTGGAATGCTATATTCTGGTATATTGTACAAGGAACCCTAGCTAAGGCCCTGAGGAACAAGACTCCTACGTAACTATTCAGGCTTCTATCTTGCCATCTGTTGTTGCCCGGACCACGGCTACACGGCAAACTGAGGAGTCCGCATAGCGGTCCTCGGTGGCCACCTCGCGCTTCACGCCGAAGACCACGCAGGACCTCTTGATGGGCGGCGATATTAGGGGGCCTAATAGGCGTGAGGAGCTTGACCACAATTTGGGTTTAGGGTTTACGCTCTCGCAACTCGGACAAGCCAGACGAGGTCTCTTGGTTCGCATTGACTCAGGATCGGATCACTCGAGTCAGCCCTAAACCCTAAAGCCTTAAACCGTACGTCATCAAAAGGAACTTTTCTGAACGCATTACCCATACCGAACCCCGACATACATATACAAATCTCCAAGAACCCTCGACGGTCTGTGTCGAAAAACCATAGTCCACGAAAACTCTTACATTACGACCATCACAGCATACATCGACAACGAACATACGAACATGCAAAAGCCCCAATTGCCAAACCCCGTGCGCCGAACCTCAATGCCTACTGCAAGCCCTTGAGCGATGGAACTGCTCTCAGCAGCCTCTGCCCCGAATCCTCAGCATGGGCTTGGATTGTGTGCCAGCGAACACTTCTCAAAAAACCCTAACCCCTAAACCTTAAACCCTAAAGGCCCGCTCTCTCTCTCTCTCTCTCTCTCGGCCTCTCTCCCAAAACCCTAAACCCTGAAGGCCCTTTTTGCAACCCCTAAACCCTGAACACATCGACGCTGCCACTAAGCCCCCGGCGGCCAGTCCAGAAATCGAGCCGAGGGATCCTCCAAAAAAAGGAAGCCCGGTTTTATTTTGTTGGGCTTAGGGTTTAGGGATTTAGTTTAGGGGCTCAGAGTTTAGGGATTTAGTTCAGGGGCTTAGGGTTTAGGGATTTAGTTTAGGCGCTTAGGGTTTAGGGATTTAGTTCAGGGGCTTAGGGTTTAGGGCTGCAGAGGTGTAGGATAATGGTTGAGGGTTTAGGGTTAAAATTTACGGAATGGGCCTCTGTTTGAGGCTTAGCTCACCCTTATTGAACCCCTTTATAGATCCCTTCAAGGAAACCCTCTAAACCCTAAAAAGGCTACCTACTCAGCCCCCTTAAGGGGAGTTTGCAGGAGCACCTGGAGGAAGCCCGGAGCCCTACAAACCCTAAGCTCCCTGATGTAGGGGCTTTTAAAGTTAGAATAGGGGTTCTTTTAGAGGATTCCTTACAAGGGGTTATATAAGGGATACTATACGTGTACTGTAGTATAGGGCCTTATAATAAAAAGAACAGCCTTATGCCGGTCGCCCAACGTCCTCAGGAAAAGATAGGGGCCTTAACAATTAGAATAGGATTCCCTTAAAGGGATTCTTAAAAGGGGTCCTGTAAGGGCGACTGTAAGAGTGTAGTGTAGGGCCGTAATAACAAGAATAGGGTTTTGGGGTATATTCTACTCTGATCATAACGAGGAACCCCCACAACAGTACTGGTAAATTTATTTAGGCCCCTATATTAAGCATCAACCCTGTTTCCCGGACTTGTGCATTCGCCTGAACGTTGACGGGCAGAAGGCAAACAATTAATGCCTCGACAGGCAGGAATTGAGCTCGGCAAGAGCAGCTGAGATGCAACTGGGTCGCAAAGCAGGGACATTGCCCGTGCGCTGAGTTTCGGTGGCCTGCTTGCTCGATTTGGGGTTCAGTTCCTGGGGGGATACTAGGGTTTGGAGTTTACCTTGACCCCGAAAAACCTCCCTTTTTAGGGTTCCTCCTTATGATTTCCTTATATGAGTCCTTAAAAAAGGTAGGTTATCTGGGGTTAAGGCAGAGTTTAGGAGTCTCGGACATTTGGGACAGGTCCGATGAGTTCGAGGTTGTTGAAGGGGGGGTGAGACGGCTCCACCTTCGTGGATCCGACGGACATTGACGACATTGGCCTGGTGCACGCAATGTTCTGCGATCAGGCCACTTTTAAAATGAGGAGATTTCTGGGACCGCATGCCGTTTGTACACTACGATGTACTCAGGGTAGACTTGATCGTTGTTGAAAACTACGAACTCCCTGTACGTTCCGCGAGACTTCTCACGATCTCCAAGGATGGAATGGTGTGGGCCGTTTTGAATCGACTGCAGAAGAGCTTCGACATCTGGCTTGACTTCATCGGTGTAGATCCAATCACCACAGCTGACCTTGCACAACAGCATGCAATAAAGGCCATCCTGGTCATCCGAGGCATACTCATCAGACTTGCTTGAGGCTTCGGCAAAGTAGATGCCCTTGCCATAAAGAGTGCCCTTGTGCGAACCTGCCAAATCCACTCTGAAGTCCGAGCCTTGGTTGGAACTGTAGAGCCTCTCTTCTTCATCCTCGTAAATACGGCCCTTTTATGAGACAGACAACGGAAAATCTAAAGTTTCCCAAAGCCTACCTAGGAGCTGCAGATGGCATTGGCTGCAGACGGCTTGGTGCCATGGAACAGGTAGAACTCACGAGCGGCGTTGCACAGCGACCCGTGCCCACTCGTCTGGCAGAACTCCTCACACAAGCTTGTTTTCACCGTTTCAGGCGGCAAGGATCTGTCTCCACACTGGCGGCGAATTCGCTCGCGCTGTCGCCAATAAGGAACCCAAAGACTTGGGTTTTCATTCCGCAGCACCTGAACCACTTGGAATCGCTGCACACCACCTTCTCCCAGCTCCTCGTCCTTCTCTCGGTCCCTCGTGGCAATCGCCTTCCAGGTAGTGTCCAACAAAGACTGGATCGCTTGGCAGACTTCGGGAGTCTCGGGCACTCGTTTAGACTCCATGCTCTCCTCGTTCATGTGCCTAGTCCATGGTTGGGTATTGTATGAAATTTAATGTCTATTCCTTCCTGGGCTTAAGTAACCATAAACTATCATAAACTCATAAACATTTACAGTGATTTTTTGTATGACGAAGATGCCAGTACGCAGGCATTTCTACCGGCAGGTTCAGGACATCATCGGAGGAGGCTGGGCGCATCTCGTATTTTCCCTGCCAGAGCATGCTGCCGCCCTCTCGAAGCCACTTCCATCTGGGGTTGTCTGGAGCCCAACCATTCCCAAGAAGGACTGCGCTTGGAAGGACATTCTCACCTGAGAGACGCACTCCCATTGCAGGATCGAGGTGTACGTTACAGTCTCGACCCTGATCGTTATGGTACGTAAAGGCAACCTGCTCCACATCGAAGGAGTAAGTCTCCATATCCAGGGGTAAGGCAACGTGGTGCAACAGCGTGAGATCGCCAACTTTCCGGCCCATCTCATCCTGCAGCATCAAGTAGGCGGAGAATCGTCTGCCAGGCAAGGAACCTTTGACCCTGAATTCCAGCAGCCGCCGCTGGCTGCCGTTCTCCCGTGGAACTGGGGTATTCATTGCGTACTTCCCCTGCCAGTTAAGGTTCCCCTGCTCCCGAAGCAGCTTCCAATTGTCGTCATCTGGAGCCCAGCCACGCCCAAGAAGAACTGCACTTGGAAGGACATCCTCACCTAGGAGACGCACGCCCATTGCGGGGTCAATGTGGATGTTGAAGTCAGTACCCTGGTCGTTGTGATACTCAAAGACCACTTGTGCAGCATACACTGAATAATGCTTCCAGTCCGTCGGCAAATGCACTTCTTTCGCAAATCGAGTGGCCAAAGACACGCCGCCGCCAAGCACGGAGATCTCTGCAGAAAACTGCCTTCCTGGCTTGCTGCCCTTGACCCTGAACTCCAGTAGCTTGATGCCGCCTCGCTGCAGAGCATCCGAAACAATTCTCATCTCATACTTTCCCTGCCAGAGCATGCTGCCGCCCTCCCGAAGCCACTTCCATCTGGGGTTGTCTGGAGCCCAACCATTCCCAAGAAGGACTGCACTTGGAAGGACATTCTCACCTAAGAGACGCACTCCCATTGTAGGATCGAGGTGTACGTTACAGTCTCGACCCTGATCGTTATGGTACGTAAAGGCAACCTGCTCCACATCGAAGGAGTAAGTTTCCATATCCAGGGGTAAGGCAACTTGGCGCAACAGTGTGAGATCGCCAACTTTCCGGCCCATCTCATCCTGCAGCATCAAGTACGCAGAGAATTGTCTGCCAGGCAAGGAACCTTTGACCCTAAATTCCAGTAGCCGCCGCTGGCTGCCATTCTCCAGCCGCAATGGAGTACGCATCGTGTATTTTCCGTTCGAGCACATGACCCCCTGCTCCCGAAGCATCTTCAATCTGTGTTGAGAAACCCAACAACAACCAGGCATGGCTGCATTTGGAAGGACATCCTCACCTAGGAGACGCACGCCCATTGCAGGGTCAAGGTGGATGTTGAAGTCAGTGCCCTGGTCGTTGTGATACTCAAAGACCACCTGTGCAGCATACACTGAATAATGCTTCCAGTCAGTGGGCAGGCGCACTTCTTTCGCAAATCGAGTGCCCACAGACATGCCGCCACCACGCACGGAGATCTCTGCAGAAAACTGCCTTCCTGGCTTGCTGCCCTTGACCTTGAACTCCAATAGCTTGACGCCGCCTCGCTGAGACTTGTCATCTTTGCTGAATGGAGCGGCTACTCGCGACTTCGCTGCCGCGCATCCCATGGCAAAAGTGGCCGAGAACCCTAAACCCTAAACCCGCTGAGCTTGTCGGGAATACCTTTGTGGTCTGGCTCCACAGAACTGCCAACGTGAAGCAAGGCTTCTTAGGGAGTTTTCGAAAATAAGAGATACCTTATCTTGGGGTCCTTATAATATGGATCCGACTACTTAGGGTACTACGTTAGGGTCCCCTGTTCTCGGAAACTCCCTCATGCAGCACAATCTGGCCCCTGACGAGCTCAGCCATTTTAGGATTTGCGATCCGGTCTAGCATGTCACTGGGCATAAGAAACCCATGCACCAAGTACAACAAGCTTACACTACCGTCCACGACACCTGGTCGCTGGAGCTCGGGATATGCGTGAGACCACACACCCACACTATCACAACCTAAACCGGGATGCAGCATCCAGCCTCTGTGCCCGCGCCGCCTGCAGCAATGCTGACTACAGACCCCTGGATCAAGCTTCTAGAACTAGCTATTAGAGGTGGCTTTGATACTTCGAGTAGGCTTTCGAGCTCTACTCTACTCTCAGCTCAAAGGGACAACACGGGTATACTACTAGTACTACTGATTAGTCGGCCACCAGCTTCACTGCAGGGTCCAAGCATGACGGCCTCGCGAAAAAAGACAGGCAGAACAAATAGGCTTTCTGGACTCCTTCTGTATGGGACTCTTCCAGATACCCCACAAAATGCTGCAAACCCGAATTCACAACATGTTGTGGTTTCCTCTAGTTGTGTTTTTTTTGTCTGCGTGTGTTATTGTCCGGAGGCCTCGCATTTACCGGGCTGTAAAGCGCTGGCATTCATACGGCTGATGGACAGAATCCTGCATTCTCCCAAGGATCCTAAACTATGGGAATTATGATATATTCCTTATTCTGGGAAATGCAGGATTTTGTCCATCAGCCGTAGTTCGCACAGGTCTTCCTTAAGGGAACTACAGGGCATCCCTCAGGGCTCAAGTAGAATGATGGGGGCCTCAACAGTTGCCTATGCTGTTTCTTGGGGTTCCTTATTATATAACTTTAGTATAATGGGCCCCAAAACCCTGTTCTAGGATTTGTTTCGTAACTATAGTATCATGGGCCCCAAAACCCTGTTCTAAATATTAAGGCCCCCTATCATAGTAGGTAGAATAGGGTTCCGGGGGCTGCTCCACAGCTTTGGGACGTTGAGTAACTCTCTCCATCCTGGATGTTTGTTTAATGCACCTTAGAAGGGGCCCCGACCCTGTAATAGTGACTATAAGAATTAAGGCCCATTATATCCCTATTATACCACTTTTACAGGGTGGGGGCCCCTTCTAAAATACATCTATGCAACCAGGGTTCAGGTGTCATCTCACGCAACATCTATCACTGGCCTGATGACAGCCTGCACGCAAAATATTGCACCCTGGCACAGTCCTTCTGCATGGTCTCACAAGAGAGTGGCTCTGCAAAGTCCGCTTCCTACAAATTCTTATAAAACTCAATCCGAAGATACAGCTTTTGCATGTGACTTTATGAATGCGGCGTCGTTCTTTCATATCGACAGGTTCAGCCTGTCCATCTGTCCTTGTCGATACTGAGGGTCTTTCCTCTCTTGCTGTACCATTACCATCCGCGCGAATGTGCTTTGATGCTCCAACAGACTTGTACCAACCTTACCGCGTGTATCTTACTGAGTGCCGACTATCTTCTTCTGATTCTTGGCTGTTGTTCTATCTGTAACTCTCCTAGCAATTCCCGTAGTAGGTGGTATGAATCCTGACACATCGTTTGGAAAATCTGCAGATGCTGAAGTCGCCTGACCAATCCTAGATTGCAAAGCTTCGCCTGCTGGCGATGGCGCTGCCACAGACCCTGCGGGCATGGGTGGGTACTTGGGTACTTGTTCTTAGGAGCAATAATCCTAGGATTGCAGGGCTACTGTTCTTGGCTTGGCATTTCCTGACTGAAACGAAGGGTCCTCATGTGCAAGGGTGACGCTTCGTGATTTTCACCTGCCGGGCGGCTCTATTGCAGGCTCCTGCACGACAGATTCGTGGTGATTCGGCTCCCATTCTCGCCAAAGCCAGGCAACGATGGAGAAACGAACTAACGAATGAATGAAAAATGAATGAAATATAACTACCCAGACCTTCCAAAATCCCTTAATTAAGGAATATACCTTAAATTATAACAGGATCCCTAATATGATTTAAGGTATATTCCTTATTAAGGGATTTTGGAAGGTCTGGGTAATGAATCAATGAAGCATGTTTGGTTTCAGAGCGCACATCGCACCAGAACTTTGTGTAATCAGCACCTCAGACAGAAGACCAAGAAGCTCAAGGATAAACAGGTCGAGTCATCTAACCGAATCTAACCACAAAGGCACCACCCTCAGACACACCGCCAAAAGCTGAGCACGACAACCAACCCAGAAGAATCAACAACGGCGAAAAACAGCGCTCACAGCCTAAGCCCTAAACCACCAAACCTCAAAAAGTCAACAGGGCTCAGGGCTCGCCCCAAAGAATGAACACCACGGCCTGGCGGATACTGTGGCCTACTGAATAGCATAAACAGAATTCACAGACGAAACAAATGATTAAAGGCTTCACCTGAGACCCCAAGCCCTAAACCTGCAACCCTTTCGGAACTGATGCCCTGAACCCCATAAGCATCATATGGGTGGTTGTCAAAATTATGGTCCCTTTTTGGGGCCTCATGATGATACGGCGCCTTCTATCTAGGGTACCCAAAAAGGGACCCTAATTTTGACAACTACCCATAGAGCAGACCTGACGTCCGACGGTCAAGCTGCACCTGACTGCATATGGGAGTTTCAGAAGCCAGGGGTTCGGTTAAGGGTTTAGGGGTTTAGGGTTTAGGTCTAGAGCGTCGCGGGCGGCTTTTACAGGCTTTTACAAGGGCTAGTTATGGATATTCAGCTATTTCTTACAAGGCGTTATAAGTTTGAGGGCGTTTGTTTTTAAATGAAAAGGGTTCATTGTTTAAGGGTGCTTGTATTCAGGATCCTCCTCTTTATGGTTTATGGATTTAACGTTAAGAGTTTCGGACTCACAGCTTCGAGTTTCATTCTATCCTACGATCCATTGCACGGTTCAGGGCTGGGGGCTTTACGAGCGTGCACAAAACTTTCGAAAGGAACCCACAGGGCAGACATAATTAGGGCTCTGTGATCTTCGCTACAGAGGATCAGCGGACTTCGTAAGGAGGTTTTAAGCAGCCTGATACATGCAGCAGTTGGGATTATCATTCGCATAACCCTACTAATCACCTACTACTTAGTAAATCTCCAGGATCAGGATCAAGAAGTGAGCCTACACCCTGCAGAACACTGGAAATCCCTGTGACGAACCCTGATGCAACACATCGAAGGCTTCTGCTGGACACTCTCAGAGTTTCCGGCGTCACGGCTAGGAGTTGGTCTTTGTTGGTCTTTGTTGCAGTAAGAGTGCTACTATTACCATACGGGCCACGATAAGTTTTACGAGTTACTATAAAAGAATATTGCAGTAATAATGGG